AGCGATCGAGCCTGGGAGCAAGACCGTGATGAGCAACTGGACTCAATTATATAGACGCTTGGGGATGGCTGCATTGAGGAAGGGGCACCCTGATCAACATAAGGCACCAGTGATGACAAATCTTCGGTTCATTGGAGATATCACAAGTACATGTCTGCAGAGCTTCTCAGCCTACCAGACATTGCAGAGACTTGGGATGGAATCTTGCAAAAGAGAGATCTGCTGAAGATTACTTTGCCTGATGTTAAATCTGTTGGCAAGACACCTGGCAAGATCTTTGCCCATGCTGAAGCGATGGTCGAGATAGTGCCTCGGCTTTCGGCAGTTATGGTTAATACTGCTCCCGTGCCGACAATTGTGTCGAAAACGATTTGGACTTGATCTGCTGAGGTTCTGCAGTCTGTTGGTTGTGCAGTTTTCAAAGTGGGCTTTACCCATGATCCTGTTCGGCGGGTGGAAGGCTACTGCGACGAAGGATATCATCGGATGCATCTGTTGTACATGTCAGCAGACAGCACGATGTGCAAGTGTTTGGAGGCTCATTTAATTCGGTTGTACAGACGGCGACAAGGTTGCCATAATGATAACCCTGGTGGCGAGGGGCCAGACCACTTTCCTTCAGCCTACTTCGTGTACATTGCAATCAAACATGTGCTCTAGTCGAGATCTCCGAGTGTGAAAAAGATCGATTGCAGAATCGTTGATGTCAGTCGCAAGCATGCATGAGCAAAGCACTGCCATCGACTATAGGTTTGCTTAACAAATGCCAATCTCACATCCGCTGCTGAGGCCACTGGGACTACTATCTCTGGCTTCGTGCGGGCTGCAACTGCTGATCCCCGACGCTCCGGTGACTCCCTGCTTGATGGGCTAGCGAAAGCTTCAGAAAATCGGCTAGAAGATACAGGGCATGAGCTGCGACTAAGCTGCATCCACATCATCAGATCATCAGCTGGAGCTTGCTCTTGATGAAGTCCGCACCAGGATCCCACACAACCCCTTTTAACCCTGCTCAGATAATACTAACACAATTGAAGCACCCTATACAAACCCTATAGCCCTGTATCTATATATAGTCTATATATTTATATATAGATTCAATAGTCGATAAACACATGTATATATATATATGTACACATAGATCGAGATTATAGAAGTTCTAGGTCGGCTCTTCAGCCACGTTCCGGAGAGGCCAAAATAGACCATGTAAAACCCTTACCCAAATCCTAAACCCCAACCCGAAACCTATTAGACCCAAAACCACAACCCCAAAACCAAAACGTCAGGTCAAAAGGTTACGACCCTTAACATCCCTAGATCCCTTAAGCCCTGCAGTACCCCATAAACCTAAAACCGATGTAGACCCCTTAAAGGATCGAGCCCTTAAGGATCCCTTGTCGGAACCCCTCTAGAAACCCTTACAGCGGACTCCCTCTTAAGCACTCTACTGCTGCCCAGGGAAGTTAAGGGATGCCGGGTTCTCCTAACGTGTTTCGTTTCGAGTTGTCTTTATGGTTTTTCGGGTAAGTTACTAGTAAGTCGAGACTGGGGTTGTGTAAGGTGTATACATGCATGTGTGCTAGTCTAGATTCTATAGATACATGTGCATGTGTCTAAAGTGTGTATTATGGGTGTCACAAGCCGTATGAGATGAAGCCTCTTCCTGCCTTGTAAGAACACTTTAAACCTTTGTGCCAGCCTTTTCCGAGCACTCAGGTTTAAAGAGTTTGGCCTGGCACTGGATGTTCCGATCTCCTATGTCAACGTGGGGGACAGCAACTGTGACCTGCCAATGATTAGACCCAGCGATTTGTTTCAACACCTTGCGGACCTGGGCAAATTGGACCTCCTTTTCGGCCAACAGCCAGCAAGTGTTTTACCTGAATTCTGGAGTCGTTTTCAGGAGGTGGAGCCAAACAATACTGTTCATGCTGCCTTCGCTGCTGGTACAATGCACCCCGATCGAACAATACCAATGGTCATTCATGGGGATGAAGGCCGTGGAAGGAAAAGACTTCCAGTCATGGTAGTCAACACCCATGGCCTGATCGGTGCAGGATGCAAGGCCTTCCATGAGTTTCACAAAGATGCACCCAGAATGCAGGAACAGGCTATGCCTGTAAACATCAAGGGCCACTCGATGGAGACACGCTTTCTATCATTTGTACTGTCAAAGAAATCATATGGCACCGACTGCTCATACTTGATGCGGATGTTCGAAGCACTGGTCGAGGATCTATGCAAGCTTTCAACAACCGGGATCCAGATCAAGTCGAAGTCTGGTGTCGAGACGTGGCATTGTGCATTTATTGGAAGTGTTGGAGATCTACAGTTTTTTGCGAAGGTCGCAAGCCTCACTCGGTCCTATACCCACGTGAGCAAGCGCAGTGGACAGCAAGCAAAAAATGGGCTCTGCCACCTTTGCCTTGCTGGCAAACCTGGCTGGGACTATGAAGACTTCAGTGACAATCCTGCTTGGTTGCGGTCTGTTGGGATTGAGCCCCCCTGGGAGAGCCCTCCGGATTTGATCTTTCGATTATTCCACGATCCTGGAAATGCTGGGGGGTTCCTGAAGCCAGACCTCTGGCACTGCCTGCACTTAGGGTGTGGAAAGGTGTTTCTCGCCTCTGCTCTGGTGGAATGGCTCCCTTTTCTGCCAGGCCTCCTGCCTTCAAAGCCATGGATTCTGGAATAGTTTTTAATTCTCTATGTGTTTATGCTGGTTTTATTCAGGTTCCCCAGAACATAAAATTAGTCTATTTGGGTGTTTTCTTTGTTCGATAAGACCCTTAAGAGTTTTCCAAGGGTAGTCGTTTGTTAGTACGTTTCCTGGAAAACAAGTTTGGGTCGTTTCAGTGCGATAGGGTACAACAAACAACACTCAGGAAACAACGTCCAGGAGAGGTTTGCATATCTGGATGAGCACGCGCAGGCTTACCTGCAGCGACATGGTCAGAAACTATACTGTCGGCATGTGAGCGAGCTGAGCGTTGGTTTCGACTCTTACCAGAAATGCCCTCAAGGAGCTTGGCAAAAAGCAAGCGATACAACATTGCTTCTGGAGATTTTCGAAGACTTCTGTGAGAAGCATGCTTCAATGGCCTCCGAGGATGCCATTTTGGGTTGGACGTATACTGCGGTAGCCAACCTGAATGCCTGTATCCGTTTGCTATACAAGAGTGGGCTGTGGATGACACAGCATCAGGCGCTGGATGCTTCATCTACAGGCATGAACTTTTTGAAGTGCTACGGCCACCTGGTTCATTTGACTTTCCAAGCGAACCGCGATCGGTTTCCAATCACTCCGAAGGTTCATTACATCCATCACTTGTTCATCGACCTGAAGTCCCAAGCTCGGGCTTCCGCCTGGACATTGAACTGTATCGCCTTCACGGTACAGATGGATGAAGACTTCGTGGGGGTGCATGCAAGAGCTTCAAGACGTGCAGGTGCCCAGTATGTCTCGCTGCGGTGTTTGCAGCGTTATTTGCTCTATGCAGGCGAGCGAATCACTCCCGAGTATCGCCGAACCTCTTGAAGTCTGGAGTGCATGTGCATGAAAATTCCGACCGGATCGTTCGAGGGATTTCTGCTTGCAAGGGCTCAACAACCTTTCCCAAACGTTTAAGGCAGGCTTTTTGTAGACCTTGTGTGGCAACGACTCAATAGCTTTTTCCCAGCTAGACTGACAAGACTCCGTAGATTCATCCCAGGCCTTTGAAGAAATACTCAACAGCTTTTCCCAGACTTGAAGCAACGGCTCAATAGCCCTTTCCCAACCAGACAGTGTAGCTTCTTCCCAGGCCTTTAAAGAACGACCCAACAGCCTTTTCCCAGACATTTAAGCAACGATTCAATAGCCTCTCCCAGATCTGTAAGCAACGACTCTACAGCCTTTGCCCAGGCCTTACGCAAGGATTCCATCAATCAATGTCTCAAATGGGGCAGACTCAGATCTCTAAGCAAACATCATGTTTGGATTGCATCATGTAACATCGGAGATTCCCAAGGGTCTATCTCGGCATACTTTTTCCGGCGCCATGGTTTATTCAAGGGTGTTCCGCTGTTTACTTTTTTTGCGACGCAAGGAAATTCTACGCCGAATCGGCGGAATAGAAAAAAGTATGCCGACGAACTTACTGGTATGATTTGGGGAAGTGTTAGGCCGTGTGGGGAGACATGCCGATCCCTCATCCGGTCCGAACACGTAAGTACCGAACGCGTCAGACTCAAGTCCAGTGGGCTTGGGCCGTCTGATGACCCGCAGCCACGGCTGATGGGCGTGGGCTTAGTGTAGGATTCCGGGTCCTATCCCTGGGGCTCCAAGTATACAAATAGTACCTACTTTGGGGCCTAAAGTCTATAAATAATACCTACTTTAGGCTATTTGGAGCCCCAGGGTATGTGTTTCTCATCAAGTTGGTTCTATAGAATGACAAGGCACCGCATCGATTCCTCATATCCCCAGCTTCTCGGCAGAGACCTGCGGTCCCAAAGCTTCCGACCCGGACCCCAGATCCTAAATGGGAGTTTCCGAAAATTGGGGGTACCTTATTTGGGGGTCCTTATAATAGGGAGCCTATCATTTAGGGTACTATACTAGGGTCCCCTATTTTCGGAAACTCCCAAATCCTGCAATCCAAACTGGAAAGTCTGAACCCCACCATGACGAGATCTAGACAAACCCGAAAGCCGAAAATGCTCCAATAATCCCTGAACCCTGGTATACCCCCTACCCCCAATGGGCCCTTTGTCCTAAACCCAAGTATGCTCTAACACCCTAAACCCACTGAAGGCAGCTCTTAGTGCACGCTCGGAACAGTGCAAGCTTTTGACTCTACTGCTGTGGAAAAAGGGGCTATTGCACTTATAAGTAGATATAACTAAAGTTACCTTACTTGTAACTCTACTTACTAAGTCCCCTGATCCTCCAAGCAGTACTGCTGTTTAGGGTTTAGGGGGTTTAGCTTAAACAAAAAAGCACTGAGAAAAAGCGCGAGGAGACGGCTCTACGCTCTCTGGAGCCTCGGAAGAGTCTTCACTACGAGGGGAGGATCCGCGAGGTGCACGGGCTTTAGGTTTCAGGGTTTACAGTAGAAGCCAAAAGTTGGAAACCCAATAGCCTCAATCCTTAAGAGTAATGTATGGGGAATCCCAGCACTATTTGGCCTTAATCCGGTTTCCAACTTTTTGGGGTTTACCATAGGCTTTGGGGATTGAGGCCGAATCTCAATATAATATTCCTAAATAGTATATACTTAGGCCCGTGGAGCTTTAACATTCGGGTTTACGATTTGAACGTTTGGTTGTTCAGGAGTTTAGGAGTGAGTTTTCGAGCCAACTACGGCCGAGGATTTGCAGCTTGCGAAAGTCAAAGGGGAAAGGAGGGACCCTTAATAAGGACCCCTAGGTAAAGGCCCTTATTATAGCTACTAAATACCCATTATATAGCCCATTAAAAGGGTAAGGGTCCCCCTCAAGGGTCCCTCCTTTTCCTCTTTGGGAAAGTGTATATACGGCATGGATACATTCACTCTTAGGGTGATCGCTGGCTAAGCTCAGGTCTGGCCTGAATCCAGATGGGGGTTTCCGAAAATTGGGGGTACCTTGCTTTGGGGGTCCGTATAATAAGGATGCTACTATTTAGGGTACTATATTAGGGTCCCCTATATTCGGAAACTCCCAGATCTTACCTCGCCTGACATCCGCTAAGCTCAGGCCCTAGGACCCCGTACTTCCCCCACGGGTCCAAGGGACCCAATAGTTAGGTACTCGGTTTTAGGATAGTAGTTACGTAGGTTAGGATTGCGGAGAGTATATATGATTATTAGGTACTTGGACCCTTGGGGTTCCCTAGCATCGAGAATGCGTGTGTTAGACCCTCGCTGCTCCGGTGCTTTCTTCAGGATTGATTCGGGGCTTGGCGTCCGTTGTTATGTTGCTGCGGGCTTAGAGGTTAAGGTTGTCATAGTTGGGTAACATTTTACATGTTTATGGGCACGTTCATCCAATATGGAATAATAATGTACATGTCTAACCAGCTAAGGCTCAGAGTTTGCATTGAGGATTTCGAGTTGTAGGGACCGGGCTGGGCCGGACAAGATTTGGTGCAGCCAGGGTTACCAAGGCAACCGACAACGACACCAAATTCTAGGAACCACAGTAGGCCCTTATTCCCTTATTCGAGGGTTTAGGTTCCGTCATAGCCCTCTTTAAACCAAAAATGGCACCCTTTTTACTACTAGGTTTCTTAGGTTGCTCTTAGGTCTAGAATTCGACAGATTTTCGACCATTTGGTGCAGTCTTGCTATGATGGGCGTTTTCTATATAGGTTACTCTTATAGGTCTAGAATTCGACAAAAATTCGACCATTTGGTGCAGTCTTGCTATGATGGGCATGGGCCGATAGTTCTGAGATCGACTTTTCAAACCGGTTGTGGCTATCGGTCGACTTACGGTGCCAACCCCTACCTGGAGCCGAAAAGACCTACCATTTTAGGGTTCCTCATTATGGTTTCTGTATATAGCGCCTCAAAAAGATTGATGATATAATAATCCTGCATGACCTTAAGTACCCTAAACTATGGGAATTATGGGATATTCCTGATATTGGGTCATGCAGGATATTGTCCATCCACAGTATGTCTCATAAACCCAGGTTCACAATGCGAAATCAAAGCCTAGCACATTGAAACCCCGAACCCCGAATCCGTAAAGGCAAACACCCCACATCCCACCGAGCTTTGAGCCCTCAGAGCGTCGGGGCTCGGAGTGCCCACACGTCGAGCCTGACCTAACTAAACCAGCTTTGCAACTATAGGCCTCAATAAATACATCAATAAAAATGTGTATGTATGTATATATGTGTAATGCTGTTCCTTACAGTTGCTTGTGAAAACCAGAAAAGTTTGGCTTCATACCGCAATCCCTTGTTAAACAGTGCCCCGACATTAGTCCGATCCTCATTCGGAGGTGCAGCTGGAGCCATTTGGCGTGATCGAGGCCTTCGTCGCATGAAGAACACAGGATTAGGTCACCCCTTTTGGTTACCTTAGTTTTGATTACAGGATCCGAACACATCTGAACCATGAAATGGGTTGCACAATGCAGTAAAGATGATTACTACATTCTGAGTCTAGGTAGAGAGCAGCTGAACTCCGACCCCTCTTGGGTTTACACAGCATCGCCCGTGATTCTAAGAGTCTAAGTGTTCTTAGCCGCTTCGCTAGGCCTCTCAGTTTTCGTCGACCCAATACTATGTGGTTTTGTCCACTCTAGTCATATTGCCCACCCTAGTATGACTAGTGTGCGCCTTGAATGTGTAGCACTGTCCGGATACGTTCGCTTTACGTGCTGATATGGAGCTTCTGAAAGCAGGCGACTCCCAATATACCGCCTAAATCAACTACCAAGAGGATGATAGAAGCCCGAACCCTCCACCCCCAGCCGCAAACCTTAGACCATGAATATGCTATCGTTGGAAGATCGGAAACCATACCCAAAGGGTCCTTTGTACTGTTATGGGGGATACTTCCCTAAGTCATAATAGTAATTCTTAAAAATGAAACCCTACATTCTACTATATCGGTACATAGGACCCTTTGGGATACTCTGTACACCTTAGTAAGCTGTTCAACCTGACCACTGCTTGCGGCGCTTCTGTGCCTGGGGGCCTCAGAGAAAAGGCAGGATGAAGGAGATTCGCGATCTCATACACACATGTGTGTATGTATATATAAATGCATAGACTCCTTTAGTCCTTTAGTGACTTCGGCTTAAACCTTGATGCGTATTCCCTCACCTAGCCGTATCAGACATGTGGTACAGAAGCCCAAAAAAGACCGAGACTTGGTTGCACTGTCTCCCTAAGCTGTGAAAGAGGCCTGATCGGTCAAATACCTACATAACAGTATGGTTCCTGTGTTAGGTTCCACCCTACATGTTTCTCGAACGACAGGTTCATCATGAAGACATCTTTGCGTTCAACGCCTCTCTGCTGAAAGGGCCGTCGGAGGGCAAGGGCAGCGTGGCTCGGGCATTGGTGCCCTGGTACGCAGAGTGCATGTCGTGTTGGTTTTCAGGCTCTATATGAATACAGCGACGTATATATATATATATATATATATATATGTATATATATATATATATATATGTGTATGTATATATATATATATGTTTATGTTTATGTATATATATATATATATATATATATATACGTATACATGTATATGCATGTATACATTTACATTATACCTGATGTTGGGAGTGTGTGTGCGTGTGTGTGTGTGTGTGTGTGCAGGTGTGTGTGTGTGTGTGTGCGCCACTGAGTTTCTTATAGAAGCTGCAATCCACGTTTGCAGCTATGCTATGCGTTGTTCTTGGTTTAGCGCTACTTGTAGCCTCAGCCGTAGTGGAAAGCTTCTAAGTAGGATCGTGAAGTCAAACAGCCACGTAGCCAAACGATGGAAATCCTACCGATGCTGTAAGATGAACTCTTAACCCTAAGTTCTTAACTAGGGATCTCCATAATGCTACCCTTGTTGTTTGATGTAAGCCTGTGCCTCAAGAGCCGAAACCCCGTAGCCCAGGCTTCCTACTCTTGAGAAAACTACTGGCGAATACATCAAAAGTGCAAGTTGCTGCATCTATATTAAGCCTTAGCCCAAACGCTGTGCCCTGCCCCCCGAAGCCTTTTAAACCTAGTGAACTCTGAACCCTAAACCCTTTAAGCCTTAATTAAGCTCAGTGGACCCTAAACCCCTAAACCCTGTAGTCCCCGTAGGTAAGCCTTTAAGTCCAATGAACCCTAAACCCTAAACTTCAACTACCCCTTAAAGGAGCCCTTATAAAGATCCCCTAATGGAGCCCTTAAAGGAACCCTTGGTGAACGCTAAACGACGAGGTGCTTCCCATGGCTTCAAACCTCCTTCCATATCGCGGTCTCGCTTTGGAGGCTTGCTGAGCTTTGCCTCCAAGTCGTGCTATGGTTTGGGGCTTAGGATGTATATATGTGTACATAGTATATGTATATATTTGTGTATATGTATATGTATTTGTCTATGTGTATGTGTTTGTGTATGTATATGTATATGTATGTGTATATGTATTTGTATATGTATATGTATGTATATACATATATATATATATATATATGTACACATAAGTATAAATCAAGAGAGAGAGAGAGAGATACATATATATATATATATATGTAGTTTTAGACGGTTTAGGGTTTTCTTGTGAGGAGTCGAGGGGTTGGTGGTAGGGGCTGGGTGGGTGAAGTTGCTTTTGCATTTTGGCTGAGGGCTCGTCCTTTCGAGGGTCCATATATACCACCTATACGAAACTGTGCCCTAGAAGCCCATCCTTTCTCGTATGTACTATAACGGCACATGGACATTTGGGGTTCATCAGACTCTAGGACCTAGAGTTGGTTCCAGTTCCCTTTTTAGGGTTCAGGTTCCCTTATAAGCCCCTTCATACCGAAAAGTGCACCCTTTTTATTCCTAGGTTACTCTTGGGTCTATAAGACTTCATAGGCACGGAGAACGTGTGTGCTGAAGCCTTCGGCGAGGCTTTCGATCGCGGTGGACCCGAGTTGGTCAAAGATACCTTCCACGAAGCAGCCGCTGTCCCAGCAGAAGTGAGCTCTCGTATATTTCGGGGCCTCAATCCTATATAGATTCTGCCTGTAGTCTCTATCGTAGTGGTTCCTGCTTTTGGTTTAGCCAGTTTGATATTTAGGATCCTATGAGGTACCTTCAAAAGGAACTACGATGGAGACTATGAGCAGAAGCCTGAATACCTAGTGATACTGTTGATGGACAAAATTCTGCATTACCCTGAGGACCCTAAACTACGGGAATTATGGTACATTCCCTCTTATGGGTAATGCAGGGTTCTGTCCATCAACCGTACGATTCCTCCTGGTCGCGTATGAAGCATAACTGTGTACTATAGGGGCCTAAACAACTACCTATAGTATAATGTGCCCCAAAACCCTGGTCTAAGTGTGAAGGCCCTTCTATTATGGGGGGTTGCAGGGTTGTAAAGCTTCATAAGGACCCTTAGGGCGGGTTAGGGGGGAGGGGTGTAGGGGGTCTTAATATCTATAATAAGGACTTAGTAAGGCCTATTTAAGGAAGTATGGTCCCCCTATCCTCCTCCCCCTACCCTTTCAGGGTCCCTATGAAAGCTTGAGGATGAGGGTCAAGAAACTCCCTGGTTGTTGCTCATTTCGCTGTGAGAGATGCATTTGTGACTTGGGGGTCCGGCTAGGCATGAGGGTTTGTGTAATCTAGCCTTGCAGTCCTGACTTGTTGAGAGGTATAGGGTTTTGGATTCAATTCAGAGATCGCCCCAGCCACGAAGCCGGGAGCAGCTTGTGGAAGGGTCAGGCCATCGTCAACGACCGGCAGCAAAAACCAAGCAGCCGAAGCTCTGCCCCGGAACCGTTTTCAACGGCAGGTTTCAAGGCGTAACTTGCGCAAACCAAGACTCTAAGCAAGCAAACCCTCAAACCCTAAACCCCAGAAGCCTGAACCGTAGAACCCTAGACCCTGAACCCATGAAGCCTAAACTCCGCAGACAGCCCCAATCCCTAAGCCGACGCGTCAGAGTGATCCTGTCCCTGCAGCAAGCGCGGCACTCCCTCGAGAAGAAGCTTCGACAAGTGGGTGGGGAGGCCATGGAGTTTAGGGTCTATAGGGCCTATAGGGTTTAGGGGTTATATAATTAGGGGTTTAGGGTTTAGAGTGTAGGGGTTTAGGGGTTTAGGGTTTAGGAGTTTAGGGGTTTAGGGTTTAGGCTCTCCATGTAGGTGCCTTCAGGCGTAAGTCCTAGGTATATACTACATCAGCACATGCAGCCTTATCTAAACCCACCGCGAATGTATAACCTAGGGGCCCAATAAATGCTGGCACACTTCCTCAAAGTGCCTACCCCAAATTAGGAGTTTGGGTTTTGTTTTGGAGAGTTTGGGGGAGTATAAAGAGGGAGTGGACAAGAGTGCCGAGTCTTGTCTGTGTTGTTTACGTCTTCGGGGGCCTTCAGTGGACGAAACTTCTGGTGTTGCTAGCGGCCTGCAGGAGGTTGCCCAGCATGAGATCCATCTCGAAGTGGGTGCTGCCGTGGCTCGGACGGTACTACATAGTAATAGTTGTACTTACTACTACACCCTGAGCCGAACACCCCCAAAAGCACATCAGGTCAGTGGGGCTTCCATGTTTCACGATAGCATTGGGCGGATTTTTTCCTGCGGACTTGGGTCATCCTTGTGATTGCAAAGCTACGAGTTTAGGGTTTAGGGTTATAGGGTCTTGATCGCTGAAGGCTACAATGTCGGAAACCCTCCTTCAAGTGTTAAGCCCGTTTAGAGCGAGACCCCGAGCCTGAAGCCTATGTGCTTCTGCCTTACTTAGATAGCGAACGGGGGAACTTTAAACTTTTTGGCCTTATATATGGAGAGGGGGCAGTTAAACTTAATTCAGATGGGACTGTTGTGGCTGGTATTGCTACTCTTGAACCTGTAAAAACTGCTTATGTATACACGCCACAACAGTCCTTTCTGTATATATTAGCTCTATCTTAGAAAGTTTGAACTTTGGGGGGCCCGGTTGTTGAAGAAGAGAGCTTACCAGACAAGAATGTGTAGTCTAGAAGCCTAAGGGTTCCATATTAGGGTTTAACTCGGATGCCCAGTGGTACCTTTATTACCGTTTCGTAGTCCTAGGTTCCTTATGAAGTTACCCAATACCAGAATGGGAGCCTTTTTTATTCCTAGGTTACTGGGCATCCTAGTTTAAAGTTTAGGTATATTGTTTTAAATGTAGTCTACTATGCTTCCACAGCTTGAGTTCAACTATCAAGACCCCCTTGGTGCAACCCCTTTTAGAGACTTTATCAGCGTAACCCCACAAAGGAGCCCAGCAAAGGAACTCTGTTCTATCTTCTAAACCATACCCTAAGGCTCCTGAGAAGGTCTTGGGCTTTCTGGGGGAGGGTTTCGGCTTTGGCGGCTATAGGGTCGGGGATCTCACTACAAGGGTCCAGGAGCCTTAAGGTAAACCCTAAACAAGGCCCTGATTTAGGCTTCTTCCCATGAAAGACAGGTTGAAGGCAGCTGCAAGACCTGGAACCTACTTGGGAGTTTCCGAAAATTAGGGGGTGCCATATTCTGGTGCCCTTATAAGAAGCATCCTACCTATAGTCTCCATTGTAGTTCCTTTTTGGGGTTTTTTTTCGGATCCTTAATATAAGATTGGTTAAACCGGAAAAAGGAACTACAATGGGGACTATAGGTACTATGTAGGGTACTATATTAGGGTCCCCTCTTTTCGGAAACTCACACCTTGACCTACCAGAGCCTGCCTTTTTCGTAGGGTCCCCCATAACTTCCGACGCGGCCTTGCGAAAAAGGATAGGTTTTGGTACATTACCCTAAGGCTCTTGAGAGGGTCTTGGGCTTTCTGGGGTTGGCTTTGGGGCACTACAAGGGTCCAGCAGCCTTCTGTTAAGGTAAACCCTGAGTTGGGCTGGCTTTGGTAGCCTCTTGGGACCTGCTGGCCTCTAAAAATGCGCTCAAAAACAAACCCAAAGGGTCGTAGGTGTTAGGGTTTAGAGACCTTCGTCTCGTTCCGTTGCGTTTTAAGGGTTTCGATTTTCAAGATTGATCAGGTTCTTCCGGTCTAGGGGCTTCTATAAGGGTGTAGGAAGTTAGGGTTTCGATAAACTCTGTCTTAAGGTTTCATTTCGCTTCGGCGGAGTTGGAACTTAGGTTCCATAGTATACGTTTAGGGCTTGAGGAGGCTCTGGAAGGGTGTCTTCAGGGCTGTGTTCGCAAAGGGTCCAAGTTACCTCTATGGCAGAATTTGGGGTTGGGTAAGTAACCCCCAGAACAATGGCCCTTTAATAGAGCGCCTATGGTCCTTAATAGCGATTATTTGGGGCACAATAGAGGGTAGTTGGGGGGGGGGTCTAGGCAAAACCCCAAGCTCCAAAGCTCGAAGGTCGAAGTGCCTCTTCATCATTTGGCTCCGGCTGAATTGAGGCAGTCACTGCAAAGCTCGAAGGAAGCTGAGTACAACAAGCACCTTGGCATGGGTTTCCCTACTCTAAACTGGCATAACCTACTTTTCTTTGCAGGTTCTTATCATAAGTCCTAATATGGATTTTATAGGGACCCTACAAAGAAATAGGTGTTGGTAGGTTAGGGTAGAATGCTCGATGTTACATTATTATTCCGTATTAGCCTAGACTAGAAGCTTTATGGGTTTACTTAAACTACCCAGGCCACTCTGCATGTTCTTTCTATTCTGGTTTCTAGTTTAGGTGTCATTTTGGTCTATGTCATTTTATGCTGTCCTGTCTTACTTCCATGTTTGCTGGATGTGTTTTCTATTCTTGGCGGTCCAGCCCATGTTGCATGCACTTACCTTCCTATACAAGGCAGTTACCTTGTTCGGCAGGAGAAACCAAACTTGAAACAACCTAGAAGCACCATACAAACGACATAAGAAAGCACATAGAGTCCAGATAGAAACACAAGGGACACATTGAATCCAACACATAGCAAAAGGTAAAACGCCTACGCAACTTGGCATCGGGGCGGCGGCCAATGTCTGATTGAGTTCCCTTCCCATTGTTCCCCTCCTTTGTCGCTTCAGCACAGTCCAGACTCATATAGGACCAACCTCGCAAGTCTAGGGTTTTAGGTGCAGGCTTACGCGAACGGCCCATGCGCCCAAACAACAGTATACTCGTTGGCTTCAATTTACCTCTATAGCGGCTACTTGGGTCCACGGACCCTTTTGCCCTAAACCCTTATAGAACCCTTATAGCCTTATAGTAACCCTGAAAGGAATCCCTAAAAGATCGCTAGATGGGCACATGGACCCTTAGGCTTATGTCATGTACCGATTATCGATCCTTCATCTCCAAGTTTTTGTAAGTGCCGTTAATCCCTTTGGAGCCAGTTACCTTACTCATGGGCTACCGGGATACATACGTAGTACATGATTACATACCTAAAGGGTCCAAAGTACCTTTATAGTAGAATGTAGTGTTTCTATGTTAGGAATTACTATTATGATTTGGGGAAGTATCCCCCATAACAGTACCTAAGACCCTTTGGGATAGTGCCTTGGCTATTTGGGTCAAAGGAGCCTTTCGGGAGTTGCAGTCCCGACAAGTATTGGCAGGTTGGGTTTAGGTTTTCGTGTTTAGGGCTCTTCTCATGAACCACAGTGTCGCAGAAGGCCTAAGAGCGCTGTCCGTTCCGTGAGCAAAGCATCGCAACATGCAGCTCGAGCAACTGGAACTGAGGAAACAGCCTTAGCCCAGATTTCAACGTTTAAGATTTGGGCTTTAAGATCTGTTGTGTTCTGTACGGTGCAGCGCTTCTAGGCATTTCGGGTTTACGAGGTTTAGGTCTTATCCCCTTGCCCTGCAAGCCCTTTCTATAAGCTCAAGCTCTTTAAGCCCACTAAACCTTAAAGCCCCACAAACCCTATCAGCCTTGTAAACCGCAAGCACTCCCGTAACCAATGTAACTGCAAAAAGGAGTATGACCCCCAAAAGTTTGCACATGAGCTTATTTTAGCGGTACCTGGGTTATAGTCTAGGCAAGCCCTCAACCCTAAAAGCAGAGAAGTCTGGTCTGCTTTGGAAGCCGGCTGAGGATCCTTTTCTCCATCATGCCATGGCGCTTCGGCACAGCCAATTAGGGGTCGTAGGTTTTAGGCTTCAGGGCTTTGGGGTTTACGGTATTTCAGGGTTTGGGGTTTAGGGTTTTGGCTTCGGGTTCGGGGTTTACTGGTTATTTAGGGTCCGCGGTGGGTTTGATTGATTTAGTTGCATAGATTACGGTGTGGTGCTTCATGGTTGTACAAGACTGGGATTTGGGTTGCAAGTTGAATAACAAAAAGGAGTGTTGAACACAGGTGATTCTAAACCAGCAAGGCTCGAACGACAAAGTCTCATGTTGGGCCCAAAGACCATACCACTGTGGATGGACAATACCCTGCATGACCCAATATAAGGAATATACTTTAATTCCCATAGTTTAGGGTCCTTAAGGTCATGCAGGATTTTGTCCATCAGCAGTATGTAAGGCTGTGCTCGTTTGAGCCTGAGGGTAAGCATACACTCACGCACGAAATCTGGAAGAATCCGATGTCTGCAGAATCCTTGAACTTCTTTCCTTGATTAGGGTTTAGGGTCCAGGGTTTAGGGTTCTTTCCTTGATTCACAAAGTTTTGATCCATGTAGGCATTGGATTCTGTCCTCAGCCAAAGACTCAAAGACTGAACAACGCGTCTGATGCTTTTCCTGTGGGTGGTGACCGGTTGTTGAATGGCTTGGTCTGCACCAAAAACCGTATGTAGGCTGGAAATACCCCCCGGACATGTAAATAAAGAGTACCCTAGACCCCTGAAGCCCTAAACCTTACCTGCATATGGGTGGTTGTCAAAATTGTCGTCCCTTTTTGGGTCCCTAATATACTACGGCACCTAATATTTAGGGTGCCCACAAAGGGACCCTAATTTTGACAACCACCCATATGTTTATGCGGATAGGGAGGCCCTGACGGACAGGCCCCCTGAACAGAAATGGTGCCGATGTCGGAGTGCAGCTTAGAGGTGGAAGGCCAACCGGTTTAGGGTGTTAGGGTTTAGGGTTCAGGGTTTAGGGTTCAGGGTTTAGGGTTTAGGGTTTTGTATAGGGTTTTAGGGTTTTGGGAAATTTGCTTTTTGCTGATGTTTGGGACTTCATGTCCGCCATTGTCTAGTCTTGCACTTCGCCATTGTGTTCTTCGGAAGCTTATGCGAGCTTGCTAAAACCTGTACTCATTTAGACCTTTAGCCACCGGCTTCCAAATAGGAGCCCAGCAACCTAAGCTAGATTCAGCTACTCTTCCTTGAATCCTACCTAGGCCCTATGGTACCCATAACCCAGTAACCTACTACGGAGTAAACTGAACTGTTACGCTTAGCAATTGTTGCTAACATCAGGAGCGAGACTACACCTTCTGTTGAAACTTTGGATGGCGCTCCGTGCATTCTCGAAGCCCCCAAAAGACTGGTGGTGTCTTTTGTTTTGGACTTTTAGATTTTCGGGTGGTTCCAGGATGTGCAATTTAAGCTTAACTGGTAACCTTTACCCTGCAAAGCAACCACAGAAGGACGCGCTCTAGTCCCATGAAGAGCCTACGAGAGGACATTGGAAGCCCATTGAGGCTGCCAGTATATACTACGTATGTACTTCGGTACTAAACTCTAAACCCCAAACCTTACTCTCCTAAACCCCCTGTGTAAGGTTCTGGGAGGGCAGCCCTATGGATGCAGGGAAGCGGCTGCGCTTCTGTGCCCGCGAGGTGTCTGCGAGCATTCCGATTTTGAGGCTTTGGGGTTTATACGGCAAACAGTGTTTAGGGATTAGACGGCACAAAGGGTTCAGGGTAACATGGACCGTTAAATATGATTTGGGAGTTAGTTTGGCGGTTTCGGAAGTAGGGTGCTCGCTCAGAGTGTGCCGTTTAACTTTGTCTCATTGGCCTCGCCACGACATCAAAAATCCCGATCCGAAAGCCTACGCCTTCTCTCCTGACATTGAACTCACAGATCTGTACTCATCCAAACCAGATGTCAGCGTTTAATTCGAGTCATTTGCATGCCAACTAAAAAGTTCTAGCACCAAGCCAAGCAGAAAGCACTAAGGTCCTCGAATCTGCCTGAGAACTACCTTTCCTGAGGGGCCATTCATTAATATGTATATATATATATATATATATGGTTGGTAATACTTTGGCCTCATCAGGGTCAAAGTACCTACTATTTGGCTACATGGATCCTCACTTAGGACACCGAAGCCCTGAACCACCGAAGACGCCCGCAGCGTAATCTTCTTTTGCCAACCGAGCCGGGGGTTTAGGGCTTGTAGGGATTATTAGGGTTGAGGAAGCCTTTATAATCGCCAGGCATTCGCCCATGCTGCCAGACACTGCAAGAGGCCTTAGTTTATGATCGAAGGGGATCGTGGGTGAGGGTTTACAGTCGAGCAGTAGGGCTTAATGCTAAGCGAAGCCTGGATCATAAACTTTAGCTTAAGGAGCTTGAGTCGAATGTAGGGGCCTATAATAGATAAGTTCCAAAACAAATGCAGAATATGAATGTGTGGTTTCTCAATGCAACTGTGGTATAGTCTGCCCTGAAACCCTGAACCCTGAACCCCAAACCCTATTCTAACTACTAAGGCCCCTCTTTTTTCGGGAGTTGGGACAGGGAACACCTGTCTCGAGTGTTGCTGTGGGTTTTAGGATTTAGGGTTTTAGGGTTAAGGGGTACGTTAGGGGCTTATAGGGATTTAGGAATTACAGGGGTTTAGGTTTAGAGGTTCAGGCTGAGTATACAATGTGCGGGCGGTGGGTGCGCTTCTGTAGGAATGGGGGGAAAAGCCTTATCGCGCGCTTGCGTCAGCATGCAGTCCCGCCCCAGCCACCCTTACTTTTCTGAATTCAGGTTTAGGGCTCACCTCCAAGCCCCGTTGCTTGCTCTCTGCTGCCCTTCGTTGTTCGACACCGCTGAGATGGATTGGTGTCGGGTTGTGGTTGTGGGTCCTCGCGGCCTGTGCTGGCCGCTCGACGACAAGCCAGGGTTTTCCAACCAACAAACCTCCCCCCGCCTCGCACCCTGTCAAGGTCGCTCGTCGAAGTGCAGGGAAGCGCTGCAGAAAATAAAACAATTGGGAAGGCCTGGGAGCTTTTTGAGGGCCGCGACCCCAGCGGAAGCCCCAAATTGGGCGTCTTTTGCGAAGCTATGGCTGGGTGTTTTGGGGTCCATCTTTACCGCTTGGCGGCAGAAAGGTCATTAGCAAGGCGGCATCACTACAGTCCTCGTAATGTTCTGGGAGGCTTTACCTTGCCCCACTGTTCTGACGGGACGCTCGGCAGGGGGTCAGAGCCTCGAACGCCCCAGTAAATGGTCAGCGGCGCTCTCAGCAGTTTGGGTGTTTAGGGTTTAGGATTTTCGGGTTCAATTCGGGGCGAGGGGTTTGGGGTTTAGGGTTCCAGGCAACAGCTCGTTTGGCTTGACTAATTGCTTTACTTTCACGTGCGAATTAAGGTTTCAACACTTAAATGAACACTACGGCTAGATCACTCCTCCCCTCTCTTGTACCCACGCAGGCCAAAGCATCTAAATGCTTCCCCCTAATGCCTTCGCATACCTGTTTAATCTTGCTGCCTGACATACTGCAAGATGCACTTGGCCCAAATCACCTGCCTTAGCATTGTTGTCGGGCATCAGGGGCTCGAAAGCAGCTTATCTTGTCGTGTTATTGCTCGATAAAACCTTCTTCATGGCTTGATTCGTGGAGGAAGGCGGCGTCGGTCTTTGATTGTCTTTCGTGCGGGTTCGCCATGATGGGTGCAGGCCAACATTTGGGCGAAGCAGGAAAATTTGGTTTTTGCGCGGAACTCAATTTCCAGCTCACCCTTGGCTGTCGCTGTTCGACATACTTCCAGGTCTCATCGTAACTCCTACTATTTGCGACACCAAACCCGGAGAAGACACGCACCGAAGCAGACGTCACACCCTCAGATTGAAGATCGAAGTTTCCTAGCAGTGAGGCGAGCCGGTTGCAGGCAGTGCTATGCATATTCGAAACCCATTCCGGGCTAGCAGCGGGAGCACATCTAGGGCGTCCGGAGGACATGAACGACAGAGCTGCGTATAATCGGGATCATCTTCTTCAAGTTCCTGGAAGTGCTCTGTCAACTCCTCCGTTCGCTTGTGCCTTGGCTGCTCGTCTCGCGTTCTGTTTTCGTGTCCGCTTCTCTGCGTGGTCGACATATTTTCACGTTTTTAGTGCGGAAGCCACTTGGCAACGACAGCCGTTCGTCTGGATCCATGCCGGTCCGGACCTCGGAAGTGCACTCTAATTTCCAACCATTTGCAACCGCTGTCAGGAATCGTCGATGCCTTGGATACCTGGAAGGGGCCTGCACAATACTCGGCGGTGCGAGCTGATCTAGTCTTGCCTACTTGTTTCCGTTCGTTCCCAGGAGAGTGTTGCTTTGACACCTCCGGGGATGTGGGTTGTCGGAGGCTTATAACCAATCCGATGCACCAGCCTGTTGTCGCTAAGGGTGCTTTTCGGCGGTCACCTTCTCCTGAGTTCCAGGTCTGTGTGTCCTCGGCACTCCTTCACCAAGGTTTGTCACGCAGCAGTTTGACGGTTGCCACACGGTACCTCTCGTCCGTCGCGATGCCCATCCACTGGTCGAGAGCTGTTCGTCCGTGCCTCTGGCTTGCGGGTCGTCTTATGTCTCTCGGTGCTTTGCTTGTGGCACGCTCCGGGAATGCAGCTTGGCCACCATGCCCAGGACCGCGTTCTTGTCAGGAGTGGGGTTTTATATCTATGCGGCCGATCAAGTGCAAGGCGCTGCCAGGCAGAGGACGGCGCAGAAGAAGACGTGGCGTCGTCTGAGGAGGTGGACTGGGGAACTGGCTGTTCTTTCCCGAGTGAGGCTTCCGCTGCGGACAGCATAGCAGAAGCCCACCATTAGCCGCCGGTCAGTCGCGCTAGAATGAGCAGCCCCTGCACGGACATTTGGAGGAAGGCTGCCAAGCCCTCATCCGCAAATTGATTTCCGCCGTCTGCGATGCCATCTACTCCTCCGAGCTGTTCGTCGGTGCATGTGGCTTGCGGGTCGGTGTTATGTTTATGGACCCTGTAGCTCCCGGAGCCGTGACTTTAGCCTGAATCTTCAACCAAGACTTGCCAACTTCCTGAAGAGTTGGTGGGCTGGTCAAATGTGAGGGGGGTTTGTGCTCTGCCCTAATTCGAAACCTCCGTAAACTACAGCCTTCTGGCATTGTTGTAGACGACCAAATGTGAGGGGGGTTGTGCTCTGCCCTAATTCGAAACCTCCGTAAGCTACAGCCTTTCTGGCGTTGTTGTAGACGACGGTTGCGCCAGTATATTGCTTCAACTGAGCACTG